CCACTGAGCAGAAAAGACAAGATGCTCAGTCCCTAGAATTTGCTGATTCCACAAGTTTGTCTCCAGCTCTGAGGCCACCAGCTGCTTTTTCCAACTCTGCAGTACCTTACACAGGGAAAGAAGGGCACCATTTTAAAACTAAGTTGTATATATGAACATTTAATTAGAATTCATATGGAACTAGTGAAGGAAATGGAGCCTGTACTACGTTTTTTCTTCTTGTATCACACCATATTGATCCTTTGTCTGAATGAAAAACAAACTAAATTTAAATCAGACCAATTGATAAAGGTCACAAAATTGCAGCTTGTGGTGAAATAGCACAACAAATACCCATATTAATTGCACATTGTTAGTATAACTTGATTAATTGCTTAACTTCTCAAATGGGATCAGACATTTTAACATTCTCATCTACCAGGAAGATGGTCATAAAATTCATGATTACAATTCATAAGGACTAAATAGTTCATTGGATCTAAATTCTCAGTCAGTAGATCTAACTAGCTCATCGGCTTTAACTTCTTAATCAGCAATTCTCCTTGATATATCTGAGGCTTGCTTCTAATGACTGAGAAGTAAAACAAACAAACAGACCTAGACTGAGACCCCCCCTCAGAATCCCACAGGCAATCAAAGGAGAGAGGAGTAGGAAAAAGAAAAACAGCTGGTCTTGGTGGGAATAATTACCAGGGAGGGTCATAAAGCTCTGTGTTAGCTAGAAAAAATAGGTCAATTCTGCTCCTGTACCTTGAGGAAAGCCCTTCTAATTTATTTTGCTGTCAATATAAAGGCTCAGGTGCAATTTGATGGCCACCTATAAGTTTATAAGGTGTGTCCACCAGGATCATAGAATCAATGAGTAGGAAGGGACCTAGACAGATCATCTAGTCCGACCCCCTGCCACGGGCAGGAAGGAGCACTGGGGGTAGCAGGGGTCATAAGACCCCAGCCAGGTGCCTTTCCAGTCTCCAGGATCTGGGGGAACGTTTGTTCACCAGAGCACCCCAAGGTCTAACAGTTATAAACTCCTGCAAGACCGCTTCAGGCTGGACATAAAGAAGAATTTCTTTACTGTCCAAGCCCCCAAGGTCTGGAACAGTCTGCCATCGGAGGCGGCTCAAGCACCTACTTTGAACGCCTTCAAAAGAAAATTGGATGTTTATCTTCCTGGGATCCTATGACCCCAGCTGACTTCCTGCCCTTCGGGCAGGGGGCTGGACTCGATGATCTTCCAAGGTCCCTTCCAGCCCTAATGTCTGTGAAATCTATGTCTATAAATTTAGCTCTGACTAAATATGTGGATTTTTTTTTCCTCTGATATTTGTCCAGAGCACTAAAATGCATTGACTGACAGCCTTCTTATGCCAGTCACATTCATTGGGAAATTCCTGAAGGGCGAAAACACAGGTGTCTAAAACCCGAGTCAGACTTACCCAAGTGTGGAAGAACTGCAAGGTTCCATCCCAAACCAGATAAAGGGTCACAGGTGCATCTACCTAGCTTCATAGCTGTGACATGGCCAAAGGCTCATTAAGAGTGCTTAAATAATACTGGTGCTTTTGTTATTTACCTTAATGTTTGCTAAGGACAGATTGTTAACTTAGTATTTGAATTAATTATTAAGAAGGACCATATAATTTTGTGTATCAGAGGAAACCTTTAGTGCAAAGTCTCTAAATGCATCTAGGATATGTTAAAAAAAAAACCTAAATGCATTTGTGCACTCTTCAGTATCTCAGATTTTAGCTTCTTTAGTGCCACCTAACAAGAAAACTTTGAAAACTACTTAGAAGCAATTTATTGCATATTTCATGCTTATATTCTCTAGCACCATTTTCCCACCATTGCAATTATTGGAATGGGGTTTTTTGCATGAAAACAGGGTATTTGTATCTTAAGAGCTCCTGTTGCTTAATTCTCATTCAAAGTCATAATTCTCTCTAGCACCTTATGCCAATTTCTTAGTAGTTGATTCTGATGTCACAGAAAGAGGATTTTGACTTGAGGAAACAAATTGATTATATGGCAAATTTTACTTACATGAAATTAGTCTTCCTGAAAGGTTCTGAACTGAGAATACTGGAAACTGATATTTTCTAGGCACAGAATAGGGACGACACCAGCTGTGATGCTTAAAGTTTCTATACAAGTACATCTTAATACTATTTTAATGGATACTTTTTGGAATGAGAAGATGGTAGAATGTGTTTCCCAAGACATTCTTTGGCTTCTTTTCTTAGGATACCATTTTTCAAACAGGTTTCTCTAATATCGATATGTGTTCACTAAACTGACCGGAGACATTTCTCACAGTCAAAGATCTCACAAAGAAAAGATTTTCAATGACTTTTGACTTCAAACCTATCCTTAAAGGTGGAAGCCCAATATATAATTACCAGGCTACTATGACACACCTACTCTTACTGAATTGGTTTTACATGGATCATTTTCTCAGAAATGTAAATAATTCTTTAAGGCATTGTCAGAATTTCAACAAGGTGGCACTGAATCATTTAAAAGAAACTGCCTCATCCATGCAGGGAAAAATGTGTGTGTTCCAGTTGCAGTTTATTTCTGTAACAATGCTACACATAACTCATTACAAAATTGTAACAATTTTATATGAAAATGTTGATCATATAAAATGATTAAAAGAAGGATGTATCCTTTGATTAGTGGACTGAAAGGATATTTCATTATATTGTAACTTGCTGCTAAATTGATGAAACTGGCATGGGTATTTTGTTAGTTATACTGTTTTGGTATCACTAGGTCAAAGGACGTCAGACTGGGGAAATGGTATCCTTGACATTTAAAGTCCTTTCTTATATCTTAATCAATTTTTTATCCCCCTCTCCCCCTCCTTTTTTTTGTTTTTTCAGTTTCTATAAAAAGCTTGATACAGCAGGTTCTTTCTAAAAGGCAAAATATTAAACAATTTAAGTTTTCTGCAACACTGAAAGTCAAATTCAGCAAATGCTGTACTTCTACACACATGTTGATATGACACAAGAGAATAATGCACCAAGTCTTTGGGGTTGAATCAAAAAACTATTGTGAAAGAGTGGAATAGCTTCTGTTCTTTAGACAGCAACATTATACATGGTTAGACCGAGGCCTTTTGACACTGGTCAAAGCTCTGTTTTGTGGATTGGTTGAGGCATCTGCTAACATTCCTTACATTAATTTTCTTAATTTTTCTCCACATGTATTTTTAATGGCAATTTCTCATTTCTAATGGGCAATTCTAATGGGAATATCACACACAAGAAGATAGTTTTGTGGAAAGGCTGGGTAAAACCATGAATAGGAATCTAAACAGAAAAAGAAAAGGGACATATGTTAAAAGTGAACCCTACCTTTTTCAAAATATAAAAAGGGTTGTAGGTTTGATGCCATATTAGTCCAAGGACACAGGCACACAAAGTTCTTTGGGTAGATGTGATATCTTTTATTAGACCAACTAACCAGTTGGAAAAATTGTTCTTTTCAAGCTTTCAGCCACAAACACCCTTCGTCAGGCATGCAAGGAACAATTTCTCCAACTATTTAGTTGGTCTAATAAAAGATACCACATCTACCCAAAGAACCTTGTCAGCTTGCTTAAACTGGCATAATCTTCAGCTCTTGCCTCCTTCTAAATACCTTGTGGGGCCCTAGCTCAGTCTCTCCAGGAGCCGTCTCAAATTTCTGAGGCTGAGACGCCAGCCCTACCATACCCACAGCCAGAGAATTAGGCAAAAGGCATCGGCCTATTGGCTAAGATAGAGTTCTCTTTCCTCTTCACTCCATAACCCCAGCTCCCGGGAAGCAACCTTACACACACACACACACACCCTTGTTCACACACACACACACACACACACACACACACACACTTGTTCAAGGCCAAATCAGTTCCAACTTCAATGGGGCAAAGCCCAATAGTTAAGTTTCAAAATTTGACTGAGCAAAGCTCAATTGTCAAGTGTGTGCACTCTACCACTGGGCAGGTATCCAGCTCGTAGCCCTATTGGTCTAGAGAAAAAGGCAATCAGGACTCGTTGTAGAGATGACATCTTTTATTGGACCACCAAAATTTTTGCAAAAAAAAAAAAAAAACACATATATTCGAATTGCAAGCTTTCAGGCACAAACACCCTTCATCAGGCATTGGAGAGCAGACTGTAAAAGTACCACTGGGTACAGTATCCTCCCTCCCAGACCCATCCTTCTGGGGCTTGAGATACTGCCGAAATCCAGGCAGGCATCCCACATGTAAGAAGCCCCAGGCCTGAGGATGCCCCCCGTCTCTCGCTTGATCTTAAGCAAAAGGCCGAGACCTATAGTCCTTGCCTGCGTGCCCGCCTCTCTCCAAACTCTTTTGCCTAATTCTCTGGCTGTGGATAATAAGGTAGGGCTGGCATCTTAGCCTCAGACAATTGAGACAGAGCTGACATTGCCCGCCGCCAGCGGGGCCGAGGGGAACCCGGGGGGTGGCTGCCCGCGGCAGCCGGGACAGCAGGCACGTTCCCGGGGGCAGCTCCCGCCCAGGGCACTGCCCGGCGCCTCGCTGGGAGGAAGCCGCAGCCCTTCGGCAGAGGCGGGGGCGCTGCTTTTACAGAAGAAAGACGCGGGGGGCTTCAAGCGACGACCCCCAGCCCCCTCGGGGTCATTTCGGGTCCGATTCGCCCTTCTCCTCCGGCGGCTGCAGCCCGGCGGCGGCGAGCGCGGGCCCCACTCCCGGCACCCCCGCGCCATCTAGCGCCGAGAGGCGGCCGCGCCGGGA